GGGGGGGGGGGGGGGGGTTCTCCTGTAAACGCCTGCTGTAGTCGTTAGAGCATGTCCCTCGGATCCCTACAATGGGATGGAGGAAGGTGTGCTGGATTAACGCCGGCCTTATGCTTCAACAAGGATGGGGAGGGGGGGTGGGCGTACTCTTTTTTTTTGCATGCCGAGACCATGGGGGTTCAGGGGTCTGTTCGGGTTTCAGTTGGCGTTGATGGTGCAACCCGCGAGTTGTCGGCCGCTTTTTTTCGCTCCTTGAAGGTTTTGTCGTACAACTCGCGGGTACATAGCCGAATTTCTGCCGCTGCCCATCTTAGACGTGCGTCGTGTAACTCGGAGGCGATGATGAGCGGAATGCTAGATGGTAGCGACTCAGAGACATGATAACCCCGATGCTGCTATCTCTCCTCTCTTCATGTTAAGACCCGTTGATTCCGCCCAGGCTGACTGACATGGGCAATAACATTTTGCAGGCCGCGTTCGTCTTGAAGTGTACGGCAACCGGGTGGATCGTTATTCTTCTTCTCGCGCAACAAATCATCGACGAGTCCTAATTGTTTCATATCTCTTTCCCTCTGCCTACGAAACCTCATCTGCGGCGCAACCTTGACCAGGTAAAGCGGGCTCTGGGGGCCCAGTGCTTCCCGGTGGGGGGGTACGCTATCCAGGCTTACCTGCCCGACGAGGAGGTGGGCATCTCGGCTTTCCTGTGCCACGGCCAGGAGAAGAGCTGGTTCGTGCGCTTAAACGAGACGCTCTGCAAGGTAGGTGGTTCGATGCCCTTGTGTTTTAGCTTCCGTGCGTTGTTGACGTCAGTCAAGTCGTAGGCGTCGAGTCGTTGACGTCAAGTCGTGTCCAATGTACGTTTTTTTTTTTTGCGTGTCTTCTTTTTGTTAATTGTTTTGTAGAAATCGTTCATATCAAATCATAATGTTCTCCCTCCGACTATTTTTCCTGTCGCGGGTCGTCTCCATGTCGCCTTTGGTACATTCGTCCCGCCCACGGGTAACGTGCGGCTGTGACCGTCACTTCGAAAGACCTGCGGCGGGACTTGTGAATACACGGTCCGTGATTGCGCGTCTCTTGTGTATGTGGTGATTTCTTCTTTCTTCCTCTATGTGCGATAAACAAACAAAATCGAGTGGTTTCCTGTCTCTTGGTATGTGGTGCTAATTCTCTCGTTGCTATGTTTCTGCCGAGAAAGGTTTCCAGTGAGGCTTCCGAGGAGACGGATGCGGAGGAGGGGCCGGGGACAAGCGTCGGGGGTTGCCCCGAAAAAATCACGGCCGTCGGCGAGGGGGCTACGCCGAAGCAGGAGGGGGGGGGTGGCGGCGCCGCAGTCAGGAAGGAGGACGGGTACCGCCACCGTCTGAGCAACGTGAACTTCATCAATATGGGCCGCGTCCAGAAGATCAAGTGCGTGGTGGACAACCAGGTGGCGGTGGACATCGGCGCTAACCAGGTCGGGGACATAGCCACCGTGGCCCTGCTGGAGGAGACCGACCAGCTGCTCGGGAAGGACCACCTGTTCAAGCGGAGCCTCCTCCTCATCAAGGTGCTAATTCACCGTGCATTTTTGATTTATGGGCTGTTTTTTGCTTCTTTGCGCAAGGCCGACGAGCGGCGGGTTGTAAAGGGCGTTGTGTGTTCGCGGTCATCCCAGTGTAACCGGTGTAACCGACACTGGATGAAAAGAAGTACAAAAACACGGGGATCGACCGCGGCAAGCGTTCGATTAGTACGGACAGATGAAGGTACTGGATGGAGAGATGGGAACAGTTTTTTATTGTCAAGACAGTGTAACAATAAAATAACCTCTCACACGTCCCCTTTCCCCCTTTCCATTCTCGCCTTCCCCCCCCACCCCCCACCCCTCCCTCCTGTTACGCCCTTTCGTTTTCTCCTCACACCACACGCGCAAACCGGACGCTCTGCGAACGATGAAAAAATTAGTCTTGGTGGGTGTACGAAAGCCGAGCGTACACGGGGAGCAACATGCTGTCGAGGATCACGGAGTCAGCTCTCGCCACCATGGTGCTCGCCGTGGTCAACCAGCACCACGCCAGGCTGCACACTCCGCTGCAGGTGCGCAGGATGCCCCCTTCCATCCGCTGTCCCCCTACCCCCGGCCCCGCCCCCAATCCGGTGTCTCCCGCGTTGATCGCCTCCTTCTTGAACTGGTTCCGTTTTTTTTTTTTTGCGGCGGCGGCGACTCGTTGCAAGGGACGACGTGGCGCTCTCATTGCGGGGCGATTCCCCGCTCACTCCTTGTGGCCTGAACGTCTTGTGGAACACCTTTTTTGCGACAAAGGTGACTCTTTTTGTCTCTTGACCCCCGCCCCCGCCCCCGCCCCACCCCACCCTCTCGCTGTCTCTCGCTGTCTCTGTCTGTACCCTACCTCGCTGCAGGTGATGGCGGTGTTCTTCCATATGCACAGCCACTTCGACTGGAGCCGCTACTGCTGGTGCATCGAGGGGCCCCGCAGGCTGGACACCTTGCACACCAACAGCAACTCGGCCTCCGCTACCGCTGCCGACCTCGCGTCGAACAGCAACCACGGCGAGGGTTCCACCGCAGCCGCGGTTATCGGGGAGGGGGAGGTGTGCGGATCGGCGGAGGCGGTTGGAGGCCTGGCCGAGGGCCCGGCGCCGCTCCTGCTCTCCCAGGCAAGGAAGAATACTGTAGGCGAAGCGATGTGATGTCGAGATATTCACAATGCAGCGAGAACCCGCGCGTGTGGCACCAGTCGGCACACGTTGTATGCATGTATGGTTGAGTTGTTAGCGGGGGAACACGACGCTGCCAGTCATGTAGTCTGGTATTATCTCTTTGGGCCCCGTGTTGTCCTCGTCGTGGGAGTTGTTATGTAGTTGCTGTGGCGCTTTCTCGTAAGAATGTGCAGCATTTTGGGTTCTCCGTTCGTTTGTACTTCGGCAGCGCGGGATGTGGATCAGGCTAGTGTGTCATAAGGCAGACTATGCATAACCGTCATGTTGCCACTCACCCCCCCCCCCCCCCCCCCCCCCCCCCCCCCCCCCCCCCCCCCCCCCNCCCCCCCCCCCCCCCCCCCCCCCGCCCACAACAGGAAGTCCTCAACCGCTACCGCCTGCGCCAGACGGGGAGGGGCAGGAACCACGGCGGAAGCACCGGCGGCGGCGGTGCCCAGCGCCACCACCACCAACAGACCGCCGGCAGCGGCGGCAGGAAGTCTCCTCAGGTCGGAGGGACGGGCGCCCAGTCGACGGGGGAGCCGGGAGAGTCGATGGCGGGAGCGGCCGGTGTTGCTTCGGTGCGCGGGGCGGATGGCGGTAAGGAGGATAGTGTGGTGGTGGGAGCGGGGGCGGCGGCGGGGGCCGGGGCGGGGGCCGGGGAGAAGAAGAAGCTGTTCCCGATCCGCAACATGAACGTGATGAACCCGCTGGACAGCAGCGACAACCAGATAGACGATACGGTAAACCGGCGGAGGGCGGCTCGCATGCACAGCCTGCTGCAGGTGAGTGTCTCTCTTGTGTTTTTTTTATTGGCACCGACCGCGCTAACCCGCTGGCCAATGACAAGACGCCAGTCTCCGCGAGGTGGAAAACGTAATGCACTTGTACATGTGAGCTACGAGCTGAGATCCCGTTACCGAGCATCATGGGGGAGTCTACGCTACTTTCCTCATGAAAGACCGATACCGTAGCCATGACAGAAGAGAAGTGCAGGTGTCTACCATGTCCACCGTGTGCCTTTTCGTGTCTCTTCTTTCTTGTCATTTTTCGGCCGGGTCCCTGTTTTATTTTGTTTTCTCTTGCTTGCTGTTTCCTTTTATTTTTTTCTCTTTTTCTCTGTTTTTTTTTTTTTTCTCTTTTCCTGTGCCAGATGGCCTTGTCTCTGCTTGCGTTGTGAAGTACCAAGATTGAACCAAGGGGGTGTGCCTCTTTCTCTCCGGCCTGCGACGGTGACTCCTAGTCTCAGTTGTTACCTCGCATAGCGCGCAGAGGGAGTGGAGGACTCCAGAATATCTGTCGTTGATTTCGTTTGACTTGCGGACCCCTAGGGGCCAGTTTATTTGAGTGTACCTTTTAGGGTAAGTTAACTNTGTGAAGTACCAAGATTGAACCAAGGGGGTGTGCCTCTTTCTCTCCGGCCTGCGACGGTGACTCCTAGTCTCAGTTGTTACCTCGCATAGCGCGCAGAGGGAGTGGAGGACTCCAGAATATCTGTCGTTGATTTCGTTTGACTTGCGGACCCCTAGGGGCCAGTTTATTTGAGTGTACCTTTTAGGGTAAGTTAACTTGCGACCACGGGAATCGACCGCGTCGAGTGTTGGATCAGTACGGACACACGGGTAATGGGTAGAGAGAGATCGGAACGGTTTTAAATGTGAAGACGACAACAACAACAACAACCGTGGCTGCGACTGCTTTGGATGCGCGTTCGGTTTGGATTGTGCGGCTGAAAAATTGAAAACACAAAATACTTCCAAGGCCAAGATGGTTGGGACCCCGTGTGTGTCTTTTCAATCATATAGCATCGACCACACTAGCCGACTGACCAATGAGCAGACGCCATTTTCAGTGCGGCTGAAGCATTGTGTTGTTTTTGTTGCGTCATTTTTGTTGGACGGGTGGGAGACCCTCTCCTGTGCAGCGTACTACTCGAGTCTGCCTGGGACACGATCCTCCTCGTATATTGACACGTTCCACCACCGTTTGCGATGGCATACTGGCGTGGTAAGGGACAAACACGCGATTTTCGCTCGCCCCCCCCCCGCCCCCGCCCCCCCTGCGTAAGAGCACCCGCTCTTTTGTGGTTGCTGCCGTTGGTCGTTCGCCCGTCGCCGTGTGACCATGACCAGTACCCCACCCTTCTTTTGCCACACTGTTTCTGCTGCTGCTGCTGCTGCTGCTGCTTCCGCTTGGTGGACATAAATGAGCAGATGGGGGCACGGCAGCTCCGACCCGTCCTGATGCACTTGAGGCGCGAAGTGACCAAGGCGCAGCGTGGCCAGCCGGACCCACCGCACCCGGCCCACCTTCACACAAGCAGCGTGGCGATGCTGGAGACCTTCTTCGCACTCAGCTGGGCGAGGTTCGGGCAGGGGTGGAGGCCGGACGTGCCGCCCCACCTGGACAGGTGCTTCTTTTTGTGGCCGTTGGGGTGGGAGTTGTTGTTGCTGTTGGTGGTGCTGTTGCTGCTGCTGCCGCTGTTGCTGTTGCCTTTTGGCCCTGTCTTTTGGCTGTCAACTGTTCACACGTCGGATAGATCACGATCTAGATGATCTGTGGTTTATAGATCAAGGTTTGGACGTATCATAGATGATCTGTGGAGTATAGATCAAGAGCACGCAGGTATCACAGATGATCTATGGCTTATAGATCAAGAGCGGCAGATATGTTCGGATCAATCTGTGTCTATAGATCAACATTCGGAAATATCACAGATGATCTATGGATTATAGATCATGTACAGCAGACAATGTACAGATCTATCTGTGTCTATAGATCAAGAATCGGAAATATCACAGATGATCTATGGATTATAGATCAAGAGTCGGAAATATCACAGATGATCTATGGGTTATAGATCAAGAGTCGGAAATATCACAGATGATCTATGGGTTATAGATCAAGAGTCGGAAATATCACAGATGGTCTATGGGTTATAGACCAGGAGTCGGAAATCTCACAGATGATCCATGGATTGTAGATCAAGAGCGACAAACACGTTCGAATCTACATGTACATATCCGACCTACGGATCAACACCAACACTCGAGAATGTCACAAATAATCTGTGGTCCTGTGGCCTACATTTAAGAGCTAAAACATACATGTTGTTGCTGTCTTCACATGCAAAACTGTTCCGTTCTCTGTACCCAGTACGTACCTTCTTCTGTCCGTACTAGTCAAACACTCACGACAACAGTTGATGCGGTCGATTCCCGTGGTCTTGGGTCACTTTTACCCTAAATAGGTACACGACAGATAGTCTTATACTGGCGCGTGTAGACAAAAGTAGATTCCGCCGGTACCTTCAAAAACGTCAATACAAAAATACGAACGATTAGACTACAGCAGTAGCACACACAAGAGAGGCGACAACCATGAATCTGACCAACACGAAAGCAAGAACTGAATCTCGAGAAGCTGGCATGGCACATGCCACGCAGCACGAAAGACCACCCGCATGATCTGTGGTCGACAGATGATGTAGACTAGAGTGGCAAATATCACCGATGGCCTAAAGATATATATAT